AATATTCCAACATTGGGGCAGCTAGGTGGCGCAGTGGATACAGCACTGCCCCTGGAGTCAGGAGGATCTGAGTCCAAATCTGGTCTCAGACCAGACACTTGACACTTACTAGCTGTGAGACCCTGGGCAAGTCACTTAACCCCAATTGCCTCAAAAAAAACCCACATATTTTTATCATAGAAGGAATTTGGTAGGACTCCTTTATCTATTTTTTTCAAATACTTTATATAGTATTGAATGATCTGTTCTCTAAATGTTTGGTATAATTTACTTATAAATTCATCTGGTCCTGGAGCTTTTTCTTAGGGAGCTCATTTCTGTCTTGTTCAATTTCTTTTTCTAAGATAGGGATAAGTATTCAATTTCCTCTTCTGTTAACCTAGGCAATTTGTATTTTTGTAAATATTTCCCCATTCCATGTAGATTTTCTGCTGTACTGGCAGACACTTAGACAAAGTAGCTCCTAACACTTTTATTTTATTGTCATCTGCTGTGCATTCACACATTTTATTTTTGATACTGGTAATTTTGTTTTCTTCTTTCCCTTCTTAGTCAAAGTAAGCAATTGTTTATCAATTTCATTGGGTTTTTTTTTTCATAAAAAAAGTTTTATTGTCTACTGTGGAAGTGTTTTTGCATAACTGCACATATATAATCTATATTGAGTTGCTTGCCTTATCAATGAGGGTGGGCGGGGAGGGAGGAAGGGAGAAAATTTGGAACCCAAAGTTTTAAAAACAAATGTTTAAAAAAAATGTTTTCACATGCAATTGGGAAATAAGAAATACAGGAAATGGGGTACAGAAATCCATCCCGCCCTACAGGAAAATTGAAGGGGGAGGGGATAAGAGAAGGGTGAGAGATAGAAGGGAAGGCAGACTAGAGAATGGGGTATTCAGAATGCATGCCATCTTGGAGTAGGGGGAGGGGTGAGATAGGGTGAAAATTTGGAACTCAAAATCTTGTGGAAGTAAATGTTGAAAACAAAAAAATAAATAAAAATTACCATAAAAAAGTTTTATTTATTGATTCAATTAGTTTCATTTTTAATAATCACTCCTTTGATTTTCAGAATTTCTGCTGTGGTGCTTAATTGAGGGATTTTTATTTTGTTCTATTTCTAGTTTTTTTTTTTAGTTGCATGCCTAATATGTTGATCTGCTCTTTCTCTCTTTTGCTGTTGTAAGGGTTTAGAGTTATAAATTTTCCCCTAAGTACTGCTTTGGCTATATTCCACAAATTTTACGATGTTGTTTCAATGCTGTCATTATCTTTCATTAAATTATTGATAGTTTCTACGATTTGTTCTTGGACCCACTCATTCTTTAGGATTAGATAATTTAGTATGTAATTAATTTTTAATCTATACTTCAAAGGCCCTTTATTGAATGTATTTTTATTGCATTATGTTCCCAAAGGGATGCATTTAATATTTCCTGTTTTTTGTATTTGTTGGTGATGTATTTACGCCTTAAAATGTGGTTAGCTTTTGTAAAGGTGCCATGAATAGCTAAAAAATTAGTATACTTCTTTCTCTTCCAATTCAATACTCCCCAAAAGTTTACCATACCTAACTTTTTTAAAATTCTATTCCTCACCTTAATTTCTTTCTTGTTTATTATATGGTTAGATTTATATAGATCTGAGAAGGGTAAATTGAAATTACCCCAATATTATACTTCTACTGTCTATTTCCTCATTTAACGCTTTTCCTTTGGGAATTTGGAGGCTATACCATTTGGGTACATCACTATTTATATTCTGTCATTTTCTATGCTATCATTTAGCAAAATGTAGTTTTCCTGATTATCTCTTTTAATCAGGTCTTAAGCAGATTAAATTAATTCTGTATCATTTTTAGTGATCCTATTTACAATTAATTGATTTTGTCCTGTAACTGCCTAAGTCATGATTCTTTGTCTCTGAACTTAGTTCAGAAATTCAGATGGAATTAAGTCTAGAAATACAGTTCTGCTAATTGCTGTTCTATTCTTGCCTCAAGGAAATCTGCTATCCTTGAGGAATGCAAGTGGACACCAGGCAGTCTGGTTAGTATCTTTACAGCACCAAGCTATCTTGCAAGGATTTCTGGTTTGCTCTCCAAAGAAGTCTGGTCCACTATCTTTAACCTTGCAGATGGACTCAAACAATGAACGTTTCTTAGTTACAGAAGGGAAGGAGGGAGTTGTTGCTAGCCCCTCATTTCCAACTTCCAACAAATCATATTGTCCCTCATGCCTCAGATATGTAACCAATCATAATTCATCACCCCCACGATGTCACCAACCCTATAACCAATTTTAATATTACCTCACTTACCCTATTCTATTCTTCGGTCTATGCTTATTAAAAAGAGCTGAGTCCTCATCGAGGGTTTTTGGCTAAACTGAGGCAATCCACTGATCCATTCTATTGGCAAGTAGTGTTCTTATTAATAAAATGTTATCTTGCTTTTGCTGAATTTTACTCGTGACAATCGATTTTCACTTCTGAGATCCTAACTGTTACACCTGTCTTTTCTAGCTCAGCTGAAGCACAACAAATTCAGAGCTCTGTCTGTCTTGGATGCTTCTTCCAGGCAGGAGGATGGAGAACTAAACCTCAAGAATCCAGTGGTGAGAAGAAGGAGTTCAATGTGATCCCCTGAAAGGGAAGATGCAAAGAATTCCATGGCATCTGACTATTCTTATTCCTAAGAGAGAGGACAGAACTTGGACAAATGTCAATCCTTTTTTTTTTTTTTTAACAAAATCTTTTGGCATTATCATCTGGCGATTTTGTTTAGTTCTCACCTTTAAAGTTCCATGCACCTCTCCCACCCTTTCTATTTCCTTCAAGCACTTTAACATTCTAGTATCACACACACCCCCTCCCGCCCCTTCAATCTTTCTTTAGATACTAGCTCCTTCCCTACAAATGCATACAGGTCATGCTCATCCTTACGAAATCTTCACTTTGATTCAATACACTGACCAATCTTCATCTGAGAGACAAATGATTAAACACACTTCCATCCTCTCAAAGAGAAAGGGAGGGACAACTGGAGTAACAAGTTACATATTCTTTCAGACACATTAGTTTTATTCCAAGATTCTGTTTAACTCTGAGGAGAGTTCCAAGGCAGTGCCCATGGGAAGGGACAGAGGAAACTGGGAAATAACTGCCGTGTGAAATGCAGAAGGTCTCAACAAAAGTATTTTTTTAGATCCATTCACCTGACCTTGCCATTGCCTCTCGTTATCTTATATATTTCCTCCCTTTCACAGGCAAACTCCTACAAAAAGCTGCCTATACTTCCTCAACTGTCACATGACTTCTCCTCCCCTTGTACCTGAAATGCCAATACAGACAGGTCCCGGTCCTACAACTTCTCCTCAACTTCTACATCCTATTATTTGGTGACCTCATCAACTCAAATCAATTCAATTATTCTCTCTATGACAAGAAAGTATCTTGGAAAGTGACCAGGATCTGGAGCCAGAGGACCTGGGGCGGAATGACCTGGATAAGCTGGAGGCTGGTGCAGGTCACTTCACATCTCCTGGAAGTTCTCTTGGTAAACCCAAGTATCAGACATTTCTCCTTACTAAGGTATTTTCTCACTATTTTCTAATATTTGGCCCAATGGTCTAGCTCATCAAGATCTTTTTTTGGAGCCTGACTCCATCATCTGACATTAACTGTCCCTCCTGGATCTGCATCATCAGCAAATTTTATAAGTATATCATATAATATAGGATTGAACATAAGTAAAATACTTTGTAACAGTAACCCTAACCCCATAACTGGCATGTAAGTATAAGCCACTAATAGTAATTCGTTATTAAATATTAACAAATGAGTATCTATTAGTTTATCACATCAAGGTGATAAATTTTTTTGATCCCCTTCAGCTGCTAATGCCTCCCTCCCCCCAAAATGACTTTTTGTTTACTTCATACATACTTATGTGCCCCCAAGAGAACGTACACTCCTTGTTCCTTTTTGTCTTTGGAGCTCTAGCATGTAGCACAGTACCTGGAAGCTATGAAGCTAGGGGTTTCATAAATGCATGATTTACCTACAACTTTCTCTGTGTCAGTAATACAAATATTAAACAGTACAGAGCCTTGTGGTCTGTATGTCTCACATGCTATCTGTGTCTGCCTTGTCTTCCCTACTAGATAATAAGCGCTCTGACAGCAAGGACTGCGCTATTTTTCATCTCTGTATCCCCAGTGCTTGGTATGATGCATTGTATATATTAGCTATTATTTAAGATGTTGCATTCTAGAACAGTAAAAATCCTAGGCAGGACAAAATGCTACCTACAGGAGCAATCTCAAAAAGGCGAATCACAAGCACTATGGCTTCCCAACAAATACCTGTTGATTTTTCTACTAAAGACTCCAAAGAAATATGTGGAACCCAGCTACCAGTCTTCAGATGCCATGTTTGCATAGAAACAACATGTATAGTACTAATCTATGGAGAAAAGTGACTACATTAAAGAAAAATATCATTTCAAGTGTAAAGGGAAGAAATCCCCCCCCCTCCCAAATAAACTACAGGGCACTGGACCTGACCGCTGAGAAACTATACGCATTTCGGAGGTAAATGAACGTATTTGGGCTAATCGTAACAATAACAATGACAATAATAATACCTACCATTTATATAGTGCTTACTATGTGCCAGGCACTGTTCTAAGTGCTCTATAATTATTATCTCATTGGAGATAATACTAGAATGCTGATTAGCAAATTAGCAATTACATTGCATGGAATGACACTCTGCTTGCTAATACCAACTTCATGGCTATCTACCAGGGTGCCTGGGCTAGTGTTCTTTTCCAAAGCGAACAATTTCCTTCCCAGGCAAAGAGGGAAATCAATTATATTCACATACAGATACATAAACAACAAATTTAGCCCCATTTCAGGTGTTTCTTAAATACTAAGAGAGATAGAAGTAAATGGGTATGGGAGGCAGGAAAGAAAGAATAAGCTTCTGGTACAAACCTGTGCTGGTGGTATCTGCATTGGATTGTTATCCAAAATGATCACTTGTAAATGACGGAGTTTTCTATAACAAACTGGAATTTCTGTCACTTTGTTACAAGAAAAATCCAGCTTAACTAAAGGGAGATCTCCCAATTCTGTCAAGAGAGAAAAAAAAAAGTTAAATTTTAAATCTCTTTAATAATCTCCTGTTCATGTTAGGTAAAGAATAGTGAGTTTTGGGGCAGCTAGGTGGCGTGGTGGAGAGAGCACCGGCCCTGAAGTCAGGAGGACCTGAGTTCAAATACGGCCTCAGACCAAACACTTGACACGTACTAGCTGTGTGACCTTGGGCAAGTCACTTAACCCCGATTGCCTCACCAAAAAAGAAAAAAAAGAATAGTGAGTTTCTTACCATCTGGTAACATATGAAGATTGTTTCTTCTTATGTTTAGTTCTCTAAGTGAATGTAATTTTCCTATTTGTTGGGGAAGGACTTGAATTTCATTGCAGCTAATATCCTACATGAAAGACACAAAACAAAATCAGCAATTGTATCAAATTGGGAACTATCCTAACTAAATTACTCATAGAGCACATGATTACTTACCTGGAAAAAAATTACATCCTAGTAATGTAAGTTTCTCTAAAAATCTATTATCTGTTCCTACATCATGGTAAATAAGTTAGCGGCATGTTGATTGATCAAATGTTTTTCATAGAAAAGTTCAGGTTTTAATCTAAGATCACTGAATAAACTGTCCCCCTCAGAAACTTAAAATGAACATTAACTTTCAAGCAGGCAATGCAGAAAAATGAGCAATAACCAAAACACAGCTGCTGCTTAGCCAGAAGTAAAAGAAAGTACTAAACACTGTGAACCTTTAGGTCACTGATGACAGTTACAATGGGCCACTTACTTAAGTAAGACAGAAAAGTTTAAGGCACAAATAGGACTAAGAGAAAAGGGAAAACTGTAGAAAAGGTTTGAGCAAGGTTGTGTAGAGCAAAGAGTACAGGGGTTGTGATCACATGACCTGGGTTCAGATGTTGGGCAAGTCAGTTACTAACCTTCCTCTACTTCAGCTGCCACATCTTTAAAATGGGTGAGGTGAGCTAGATGACCTCTAATGCCCCTTCCATCTCTAAATGTATGACTCTATTATTAGGATGCTGATCCAGCTCTCTTTGTCCAAAAGAACTGACCATGTTAGAAATGATAGGAGATTCAGTTTGAGGCTTCATAACCCCAGCCTTCCATTCCAAGGCACTGACCTGGAAATTTCTCTAGGCTCCTTTAGTAAAACTACTAAGCAATGAACACAGCTTACCGTAACAGCTGAATAAAGAGAAGGGCTTAGGTAACTCTCCCCTTCCTACTTACATAGAATTGACCCAACAACAACAAGAGTCCTGCAAAGGTTCTCATTTGCCCCTAAGCATGCTAGGGATAGTGCAAATCAAATTCACAATTTCTGCTTTCCAGCTTTCACTGGGTGCTTTTAGCTTTGTCAAAAGAAAATAAAAACACTCTGAAAACCAGAGGTCTGTCAAAACAGAAGAGGACAGAGAGTGGTTATAGGAACAAAAGAAGAAAAATAAGAGCTCTGCAGAGGAATAGTAGGCTATAGGGGAGTAAAGACTGCAGGTATAGGTCTCCCATAGTTTTCCATTAAAGCACTAACGATTTTTTTCCCCTCTACTATCTAGGCATGTTTGAGAAAATATAGAGAAATGTAAAAAATAAACTTTAAAGTTTCTTCCTAGATGTGTTTAATCCAATGGATTTTCTCAGAAAAATCTAGGAATATATAATGGAAAAGAGTACTGTTACTTACCTTTTTTTCCCCTTTTTTTTAGGCAATTGGGGTTAAGTGACTTGCCCAGGGTCACACAGCTAGTAAGTGTCAAGTGTTTGGTCTGAGGTCGGATTTGAACTCAGGTCCTCCTGACTTCAGGGCCGGTGCTCTATCCACTGTGCCACCTAGCTGCCCTTTTACTTTTGTCCAACCTGAATTTCTTGTGCTACAGGTAAGAGACATCAGGTAACCTGAAGACCTGGCATCAGAGAAGCCCTGCCCTTCGGTTAAATCCACTCGTAATGGACAGATAAGAAACTTTCCCAAATGGAACAGAGATGCTCCTCTTCTCCCTCCTCATCTCTCCTCCCTGACACAGATCTTCCCCTACTATCTCCTCCTTCACTAAAGTCTCTGATGCTAAAGTGGCCCTTGGCTTGCTCAGGCCAACACTTGCCCAAGCACTCTCAATACCATCCTCTCCCGCCATCGTCCCCATTGTCTCTCTAATTTTCAGCCTCTCCCTATATATTCCTTCTCTGCCACTTCCCAGCTCCCACACTTTAAAAGCCCTCATTAGATCCTCCCAGGCCTGCCAGCTAGTGTCCCATACCTCTCCTGTGCTTCTGAAACTTGAAAAAGATATCATCAAGCAGCATCACCACTGTCTTCTATCAGTGTCAGCTTCCAATCTCACCCAACTGAAACTGCCCTCTTCAAAGTTACCAGTAATCTCATTGCCAAACCCAATGGCCTCCTATCAATCCTCATCCTTCTTGACCTCTCAGCAGCATTTAACATTTTTGACTACCTTTTCCTCCTAGATACCCAATTCTCTCTGAATTTTCGTGACTGCTCCCTTGGTTCTTCTGGGTCTCTTGACCGCTCCTGCTCAGCCTCTGCTGATGGATCTTCATTCAGATTATCTGACTGTGTGTCTCCCAAGGCTCTGTCCTGCATGTCTTGTCTTTTCCTTCCATACTCTTGCTTGGTAACCTCATTAGCTCCCACTGCTTCTATGATCATCTTTATGCAGATGATTCCCAGATCTATTTATACAGCCTTAGTTAGTCTATCTCCTGAACTCCAGGTACACGTCACCAACCGCTTGTTGGACATTTTCAACTTGATGGCCCATAGACATCTCATATTCAATATGTCCAAAACAGAACGAATCTTTCCTCCCAAAATCCCCTCTTCTGAACTTCCCTACCAACTTCAAGGGGAACACCATCCCTCAAGGCACCGAGGCTCATAATCTCAATGTCATCCTTAACTCCTCCTACTCCCTCCACTCCACATATCCAACCTGTTGTTAAATCTTATCATTTCTTTCTCTACAACAGCTCCTACACACATCCCCTTCTCTTCTCTCCTCTGACATAGCCACTACCTTACTTCACGTTTTTATTATCATTCACCTCAGTGAGTTCAATAGGCATCTAACTGGTCTCCTTGATTCAAGTCTCTCTCCACTCCAAGCCATCTTCCACTTAGCTGCCAAAGTGTTTTTCCTACAGCATGGGTCTCATCATTTCATCCCCCTGATCCAATAAACTCCAATGGCTCCCTATTACCTCCAGAACCAAATATAATCTCCATTGTTTGTTATTTAAAGCCCTTCAAAGACTGGCCCCTTCCTACCTTTCCAACCTTCTTATACCGTCCAAGCTCCCATGCATTCCGTGGCCCAGCCTCACACGTATCTCTGTTCCTTGTAGTGGTCACTCCCCATATTTAGGATGTTTTCCTTCTCAACCTCTCTCATAATACCTGGATTCCTTTAAGACTCAGCCCAAAAGCCAGCTCTGCCAGGAGCCTTTCCTGGTCCCCTAGCTACTAGTTCCATCTCCTCAAAGATTATCTTCCATCTATTCTGATTTCATGCAATATGTTTTGATTTATATGTGCTGTTAGAATATATAGAGAGATAGAGAATATATATATGTATGTATGTATGTATATATGTATATATGCATATATGTATGTGTGTGTGTGTATATATATATGCTATTAGAATGTAAGCTCCTGGAGGGCAGAGATTATTTTCTCCCCTTTGTATCTACAGTGCTTAGCACAATCCCTGGCACATAGTAAGTGTTTAATAAATGCACTCTGATTGAATGGTATTTTTTAAATAGGCCTTTATTTCTGGGAGATGTTTAGAGTCATTAAAGAAGCTTTGCAATTTCCTGAAGGCAATCCAGCCTGTGGGTATCCTCATGCTGTTTCATTCTGGGACTAACTTGTCTATCTGTACTAACTGTCCAAGATAAATATGCTGATGGACAAATTCTGTAGATTGTCCATTTAAGCATGTATCATAATGTTGACAAAAGACTTTATTATTCAGCTACTTAGTGTTTCCTGGGTGGATGGTTAGACCAAACCCTTGAGAGGTTATGCATCTCTTCTGAGAGGCTTAGCACTGTTCCAAAAGGATGCAAAGATAACTGCCTCATCCACATACAGAAGCATCTGAAGGGCTTGGCCAGCTACAGTGAATCTTCCTTCAAATTGAGCTTTATGCTAGATTTCTTCCATGATGATGGCAAAAAAAAAATCAAGCATCTCCCAATTACATGTCTCAATTCAAATTTATGTCTAGAGGGAAGAATAAGGTTGCCTCTGTTATTTTATCTTTCAAGGAACCTTAAATTATTTTGTTATATGGATACAAGCCACCTTATTGTAGAAGGTGCTATTCTACTTTACCAAATCAAGTGATATTTTATAAATAACAAGCAATAAGTACAGCTGGATCTTGTATTCTCCACAACTTTCTATCAGCTCCATGATTTTACAGATACAACCTACTGTGGAATACAACTTGGAAAATCTGCTGGTTCTCTATTATTACCCTCATTGAGGGTATTTGCAATGCATGTAGAGACGATTCTCATGAAAATTTCATATAGATAGGGAAAGTAGGAATATGTCAGAATATGTAGTTGTCACAATTTCTTTTGTTTAATTGTTTCCTTTGTTAATAGGATCCAAAGATTTTTTTTCATACTTTTCATGTCTTCCCCTCCTTCAGGGTCCTAACATTTGTGTGACCTTCTGCATACATGATCTCTACATATATTTTGTCTAGCCCACCTGTTTTTCCCACCTTTGTTTCTCTTTGGTATCATTTATTTCTAGCTCCCCTATAAGCAAATCCAGGACAGTTATGTTACAGATCAAATACAGTGACTTAAATCCTGAAGATCTTTTCAATTTTCAAATTTTCCCTCTGCTCAGTATAATGATTCTGGTTCATCCTCCTTCTTGTCTGATCTTTCATTACATTTCCTTTAGACAGGCTCCACTGTTTCTTTCTGTTTATGAGATAACAATGCTCATGATCTTCCTTCATTCTTTTTCAGAAGGTTTTACAAACAAGTTTATATTCCAAATCTGTGTTTATGTTCTAAACCTTTGGCTGCCCTATCTCTCTGGCTAACAAATAAGTAAAGTGGTTGTTGCTTAACTAGGAGCTGCAAAAGGCATTCGTTCATCAAGCTTTCCACTTTGATTCCAGCCAACCACATGTGCTAGCTCAGGTTTTGGCACTTTCAAGATGATGAGGATCACGGCTGCTTCTGGACAGACAGATGTATGTCTGTAGTGAAAGGTGCTTTGGGGATGAGAAAACAATCCCCTTAATGGACAGAGAGGAGGAAGAACTGATGACTCAGTACATAAAGGAGAGTGAACCAAATCATATGAAAAAACAT